TCATTTTGTCTGTTTATACCGTGTGTTTGTTTCTTAATATAGACTATTTCAGAAATTAGTCGTTTTCTGTAGGAAAGTTCTATGTCCAAAATTTTTTTTCTTGATATTCTTACTGAACAATATTGTTAATAATTTTGGAACATTTCGCATACATAATTACATGTTGTAAATAACTTACTTGAAATAAATTAAAACTTAAGCAAGCTACACCAAGGATGATTAAAGTAAATATCATTTTCTCAAATGTAGATGTAAAATGCTTCAACAATCTTTAAAAAAATATGTTACTGGAAATATTGCATGCGTATTATCATTATAGATACAAACTTAATAGCTTTCCGATGAATATCTACAGCATAAATTACGCCCTTGATCATCCAGATCTTATTTTTCAACATAACATTTTGTTGAATGTTGATATTTATTGCATACTCGATACGATAGCTATAAATATTTATGTAATCATACGACTCATTTAATAACAATTTTTTTAATCAATAGTATTATATTAGCACACAAACTTTTTTAATATGTTGTTTAAAAATATAAACTTTAACTTACATTTTATATTATTATGGTTATTCCTACATCTATTTTCGTACCTAGCAATTTTAAACATTCCACAGATATGTTGAATAAACGTAATGCACAATGTACCAATTGCTACTGTTACAATCGACGCAATGCAAATGGCTATGATGATGTGCAATAAAATCAAATAAAAATATTTTTCTTCATCGATAAAGTATTCCATCTTAAAGACCATACGATCCGAACGAGATACGTTTGTCGATAAATCAACATTAATTGTATTTACCCAAAATTGCATCATGATATAAATAAATACTGCAAATGCTCCAAGTGCTAAAAAATGCCATTATGCATAGTACCCGAATTAATTAAATTTTCGATAACTTATATACATATATGTATATAAATTTTATGATCTATCAAAATTGATTTTTTCTACTTAACAGCTTATATACTCTCTGTTCTATACTATTATATATTATTATATATTGATAATGTGATTGTATATAAAATCAATAAAAGTTATCTTACTTGTTGTGAAAGTTATATAACGTTTTACAATACAATCATATTTTTTTACAATAGCAATTTCATTTACATCTTTTAATTTGTAATGTATTTCGTGCAGCTGCATCAGTAAATCCTTCACCTGTTATTCCAGCAATTTTTGTATATATCAAAGCATATATTTTTTTATATAAAATTTTTTTAAATGGAGAAGATTACTTCATAATAGATACTCTGTAAGCGATTAACTTACACTTTCGATGTTAAAACGGAACGAGTTATATTTTATTATAACAGTAACGAAGAAAGACGTGGAAGACAAAACCTTCATAAAGAGGTCCAAAGTATAACTTATCGTTAGAAATGTTGTCAGCTGTTAGTAGACAATTTTATTTAATTTTACTCACAATTTAATTAATAATAGTTGCAGTATACTTAATACAAATATCATTGCTTAATACAGAGTGAGATAAATATAACATAGTCGAAACTATTGCTTGTATCATGTAACAGCGTAGTTATTACTATTGTCATAATATTTTCGTACCTGAAATATAACAATAGTTGTCAATATAGTAGACATAAAAATATGCTGAAATCTAGTGAAGTTGGATTGTTGATATGGCCATAAACCGATAGCGAGTAACATAATTCTAGTAATGCCGAAATACTGATTCTCATGTCGGATCATACCTTTACACGATACGGGACATTAGTGATTGAAAGAAGCAGATGAGAGTACGTGAATCCCCTCCTTTCTTCTTCGATCGATTAAATGTTCTTTCTTCAAGCACAAATTTTAATATAAACGTCGTAATTTACATAATAAACTATTTTATATCACATTATGTCATTAGATACTTACAATTGAAAACATTTCTTTAACTTATGTATATCTATAGTCTGTAATAAAGTCATCAACCTAACGTTTGAAAAAATTCATTGTATGACTTTTTTCTTTTAATATGAAGAAAAATTTTTATAAGAGATCGAAAGTCACACGCAAGCGCATTCTCTCTTTTTCAGTATCGCTACTTCAATTTCGTACACGCATTCGTAAGATAAGGTTTTTTTTTTAGTATATTCTTTAGTTTTAACTTCTTATATGTCATCTTTGAAATACTTCGAAATATTTAAGTATATAAGAGGTTTTTTAATAACACTTTTAACTTTAATTCTTCTAATTTTTTATCTCTACTCGATAAAACTTATAATATAAAAATGATCGAATTAGATAAATACGCGATATTCGTAAATTTTAAGTTAATGACTATCATGATCAATATGTTTTATATGTTTTTTAAATATTGAAATATTAGTTGTTTAGTTGTCGCTAATAATATATCGCTACTAACAGTACTATTATTTCTTTATTTTTTATTATATATTCATTTTTTATAGAATACTCTAAATGTAAATGTTTTGTATATAAATATTGAAATGAATGAAATAAAATATATGAGTAATGTTTAATGCATTAGTAGCGAATTGTGCATGAAGAAAAATTCAAAAATTTAAAGGCATTATAATATTTTTAAATATGTGTTGTGTATATTTGGACTATAGGCATATTACAGTGATGGTTACGATTAATGCATTACAAAAACCTGAGGTTTACTAATTTCTTAATTTGAATAACTTCAATCTTCTTTTTTAGCAACAGAATATATAGATAACACTTGTTCAAAAAATAAATTGTTCTATTTTATAAATATTAACATCGTTGTGTTTTTATTAAATTTATTTTCATTATCGTGTTAGTCAACTCGTATTTATATTATTACCGTGTAGAATATATGACAGTAAAATAAGATACCGAGGCCTTTATGAGTTGCAATTATAATTATAAACGTACTTTTTTATTGTAATATGGCATTATTAAAATATTCGATATTTTCTTACTGTGGCAAAACATTCCATAGATCCATGAAGCACTTCAATACTTAAAGTAAATTCCTTGGTTTTCTTTTGCAATAGAAATAGTATCATTTTCTGTATTTGTAAAGGGATCCTATACTACTGAACGTTGTACCTACGGCATTGAATATAGCATATCGCTAATTTTAGATAAAAATCTTTTGATCAAATAAATTTAGCATATAATATGTTGATCTTTTTTGTAATAAATCTGTTTCTATTATTCTATCATTATAACCACTGCAGAAAGGACATTCAGGACTGCCTCTTACGCTGCGTAGCGAGTACGTAATTGTTATGATCCGTTACATATAATAATATCACAAATATTAAATTGATAAGAAATTTAATATTTCTGATACTAATACACGCGTAATAAGTATTTTTAAATAACTTATTGCAATTGCAAAAAATACTACTTCAACTAGGATTTGAATAATTTTTATATTATTGCAAGTCATAATGGTGCAATTAACGCAGATATACGTATTATTTATGAATTTCAGCTGCCAAATAGTTATGTTAATAGTTATTAGTTATGTTAATTAACAAGTAATTATATTAATTATTCCTTATTAAATATATATTTTTTTATACTTTTTAATTTTTTAGTACGTATATTACTTAAGGAGATGCTGAAGGGACCCAATTATCGACATTGCAGTTTGATCAAAATCTCCGAATTGTTTAAATGGAATAAAAAATCCTTTTAGTATACATAAAATCCACTGCACCACGTCAGGATTTTGCGTTTACTTTAATCCTGTAAAAGGATTTTTTATTCCATTTAGTCAATTCGGAGATTTTGATCAAACTGCAATGTCGATAATTGGGTCCCTTCAGAGCATTCCCTTAAGGGGATGCCGGAGTCTTCTTTTTTGCCAATTAAGCAAGCGTTTATGTTCCTTGCGCGGTTCTTCGAATTAGTTGCACAGAATAAAAATTCCTTCTCCACGATTGAAATATCCGTGCTAATGTACCTGCTC